GTTTTCTTTCATTTTTTAAAAAAATATTATTTATTTATTTGAGTGCTAGTTAGAGAGAGAGGGAAAGACAGAGAGAAAGGTCTTCCATCAGCTGGTTCACTCCCCAGATGGCCAGAGCTGGGCCAATCAGAAGCCAGGAGCTTCTTCTGGGTGCGGGGACAGAGCCTTCCAAGTGAGAACTCTGGTGGCTGCTTCAGTCACAGGAGCTGCAGACCCCGGCCCACTCAGAGGACGGGGTCGTGCACACTTCCGCTAAGACGGCAAGGCCCGCACAGAGACCTGGGGAGCGCGGCCCGCTGGACGCTGGGGGTGGACAGCCCAGCAGGCCCCGCGCGCTCCCGGCGGGGAGGCCAGCCCAGGTCCCCAAGCCCCCGGGCGCCCCGCGGCCCAGGAAGCGAGCCGCGCGCCAGGACCGCGGGGCCCCCACGCCCCTCCCCGCCGCACGGCGGCGCTGCGCAAGGCCGGCCGTTGTCCGGGGCCGTTGGGCGCCCACGTGGCTTCTGGACGCCTGGAGGCCGGCGCGGGGGCGGGCGCCATTACGAGAGGCCGGGGGGCGCGGGGTGGAGCCGACGAGGAGCCCAGAGCGCGCCCGCGGCGGCGGCGTCGGGTGGGAAGACGAGGCGCGGCACTGGGGGGCGTGGCGGCCGGCCTGCAGGCGGGGGCGCGTCCAGGGCAGGAAGCTGGAGTCCCCGTCGAGCTGGTGGGCACGGCCCCCGCAGAGGCCTGAGGCTTCCGGCGCGACGGCAGGGGCCGCCCCCGGGGCGGCGGCGGTGGCCGCGCGGCTCGCCACGCCCGCCATGCTCGCCGCCGGGCGCGTCGTCCAGGGCAAGCGGGCCAGAGGCGCGGCGAAGATGCTCGAGGTCCTGGTGCTCCAGGTGAGCGAGCGGCCCGCGCAGGGACGGTCGGGCCCGGGTCGGTGCAGGCGGGAGGCTGGAGTGCGGGTGGGGGTCGCTTCAGAAGGGGGCGCGTGCGCTGTTCCCGACGACCCCGGAGGGCGGTTGCTGCGAGCTGTCTCGCACTAGGTGTGCGTTCCTGACTCGGGCACGTTGGCAGGTGTGTCGGTGCCCCGCACACCCCAGCCCACGTCCGCCCTAGGTTAGGGCCCTCGCGGGGAACCGTGGACCTGGCTCCCGCACTTCCCCCGCTGCCCGCAGCCCTCAGGGCTCGGCTTCTGGGACCCCCCCGCCCCCCCCCCACGCCGCCCTCTCCTCACGCGGGTGTCCTGGTCCCCGGGGCGGGCATGGGCCGCCACCTGGGAGACTTGAGGTGCAGGGAGGGCTCCCGAGGAAGACTGAGGGGAGGCGCTGGAGGAGGGAGTTTACAAACCGGAGCCAGGGTGTGGGATGGGGAGGGGCGCCGCGAAGGAGGGGGATGGGTGGTGTCTGTGTTCTGTGGATTCACCCGACCAGAGCGTCACACACCCCCGAAGCCGCTGACTCCTTGCAAGGAGGCCTGGCTCTCAGACTTTTCAATTTGTTTTATTTACTTGACAGAGTTAGAGACAGTGAGAGACACAGACAGACAGAAAGGTCTTCCTTCCTTTTGTTCACCCCACAAATGGCCGCCACGGCCAGCGTGCTGCGCCGATCAGAAACCAGGAGCCAGGTGCTTCCTCCTGGTCTCCCATGCGGGTGCAGGGCCCAAGCACTTGGGCCATCCTCCACTGTACTCCCGGGCCACAGCAGAGAGCTAGACTAGAAGAGGAGCAACTGGGACTAGAACCCGGCGCCCATATGGTTCGCTGGCGCCCCAGGCAGAGGATGAACCAAGTGAGCCATGGCGTCGGCCCCGGCTCTCAGACTTTGAAGGGATTTCAGGTCTCCCTGGGAGGCTCCTCTGCACTAGTCAGATGTTCTCCATCAGTCCTAAATATGTTAGTCCCAACTCCTTCCTGTGAAAGGGCTCTCACCCATCGTGCCACGTGCACGCCCGTGGGTGCAGGACTTGGGCAAGAAGTGCTGGACTCGTGCCCTCCTGCTTGGGAACCCGTGTGTGTGTTGGGCCCTGGAACCAGCTTATGTCCCCCCTCAGCTCTGCCCGGCCTCCACTTATGACTGCGACCTGGCTCACCCTTGGAGCAAATCTTCTGCCCCTTATAGGAGTATTTGCCCCAGTGAGGTCCAGGTTCCGGCTGTCCTGATCCAGATTGATGTGGCATTTCCATGGATACGGTGCCCCCTCCCACCCTGTGCCCATCAACAGGTGATGGGGTACCCTCAGGGTGGTGTGCATGTAGGATGGGAAATTATTTAGCTTTCACATTAGTTAGTTTGGAGGTGTCCTCTTACACATGAGGATGTCATATGAAGTGAGGTGAGCCAAGCAGAAAGGCCCATGTGCTGTATGATTCTGTGGGCGAGTTGAATGGCAGCTGCCAGAGGTTGGGTTTGTGCGTACAGGGCAGAGATTCAGTTTTGTAAGGTGAGGAATTCTGGAGATGGCTGGTGCTCGTGGTTGCATAATAGTGCCGGTCTACATAATGCTACTGAACTGTACAGTTAAAATTGCCCAAAAGGATGAATTTTATCTGGAGTTTGCCACGACTTTTTAAAAAGATTTACTTATTTGAAGAACAGAATGACAGAGACCAACAGAGAGGGAGGTCTTCCATCCACTGGTTCATTCCTCAAATGGCCGCAACAGCCAGATCTGGGAGAGTCTGAAGCCAGGAACCAGGAACTCCATCCGGGCCTATCATGTGGGTGGCAGGGGACCAAGCACTGGGACCCCGAGGCACATTCCCAGGGAGCTGGATCAGAAGTGGAACAGGCGGGACTCGAACTGGTTCTTGGTGGTCATGAGACAGGAACCCGGCAGAGAAGAGAAGCAGCGACCCAGAAGACAGCGGCCTCCCTGAGTGACGCAGACAGAGGCGAGAGCTGTACCTGGAGAGCCGCATCACCAGGAGCCCTGTAGCAGGGCAGCTGTGCTGTTCCTGAAGAGTCCGGCCTGCAGGAGACTCTGCCACATCTGGCAGGGACGAGACCTCTCCTGGCTAAGGAGGGCAGAGAAGAGCTGTTGGCTGCCAGGAATGTGAGGGGGGCTCGCACGCCCCAGCTGGTTAGGTGCCGCGTGTGATGTCTGCATCGCACATCAGGGTGCCTGTTCAGATCTGACCGCTCAGCTTCTGGTCCAGCTTCCTGTGTGCTCACATGGGAAGGCAGCGTGTGATGGCCCAAGTACTTTGACCCCTGCCCCTGTGTAGGAGGTCAGAGTGGAGTTCCTTCCCTCCTCCCAGACTTGGCTGTTGTGGGCATTTGGGGAGTGAACCAGCAGATGGAAGAGCTCTCTCCCCATCCCCCACCTTGCTCTTGCTGTCCATCTCTCTCTGTCACTCTGCTTTTCAAATACATAAGTACACACAGCATATATGAGGAAAGCAGCCCGGGCCGCACACTTCTGTGTTTGAAATCTGGGAGGCCGTAGCACACTGATGGCTGGGCACGTGGCCTTGGAGAGTGGCAGAAAGCAGTAGTCCTCGGCCTTCCCTGGGAAGCTCCTGGAGGAACTGGCAACTAGAACTGTGTGTGTTGCTGTCTGCAAAAACTGGGCCTGGCTTGCATTTTTAGGTTTTAGAAGCAGATTTTTTTTTTTTAATGAAACATTCTAGCAGCTTCATCATTTAACATTAAAAAAAATTATTTATGTATTTTCATTGGGAAAACAGGTCAGCAGAGTTCTTCCATCTGCTGGTTTACTCCAGAATGCCCACAGCAGCCAGGGCTGGGCCAGGCCAAAGCTGGGAGCCTAGAGCTCAGTCCTGGTCTCCCACATGGGTGACAGCGGCACAGTGCTCGAGCCATCATCTGCTGTCTGACCAGTAGGCACGTTGGCAGGAAGCTGGATTGGTGGTTGTGTGGCCTTGATGTGAACCAGGTACTCTGAGTGTCCCAAGCCGTGATGACCTGACTGCTGCCCCAAACGCCCACCCCTAAGAATGCTTTGTAAACGTCTTTCCTAAATTACTCTTTGGAAAATTTTCAAACACAAAAACAGCATCATGAATGCCTGTGTGTACTACACCCACACTAACTGGTTGGTAACGCTTTGCTGCGTTTGCACTTCAGAAATATGTGTATGTAAAAATTACTTTTTCTTTTTTGGTTGAGCCATTTGAGAATGAGTCTAGAACTCAGAGCACTTAAGTGATTTTTCTAGGAACAAAGACTTCCTCTTATAGAACTGTAATGTAATCATCACACTTGAGAAATTTAATGTTGGTGCAAGTCTGTTACCTGATACACAGTCTGTACTCCCTTTGTCCTGATAAGGTCTACTGTAGCTTGTTTTTTCTGATAAAGAACCCAGAACTACACACTGCATTTAATTGTCATGGCCTTGTAGAGTTCATTCAGGCAGTACATTGGTCTATCTTTGATGATACTGAAATTTCTGAAGAATAAGGGCAGTCACTTTGCAAAATATTCCTCAATAATTATAACTATATTAATATATTTAGGTTAGACATTTTTAATAAAAATGCTACATAAGATATGCCACGTCAGAGGACAAGATGTTTAAAAAAAAAATTTGATGCTGGGCCAGCATTGTGGTATAGCAAGGTAAGCTACCACCTGTGATGTCAGGACCCCATATGGGCACCTGTTCAAATCTCGTCTGCTCCACTTAAGATCTAGCTCCCTGCTAATGTGCCTGGGAAAGCAACAGAAGATGACACAAGTGCTTGGGCCTCTGCCACCATGTGGGAGACCCAGATGAAGCTCTTGGCTTCAGCCTGGTCCAGCCCTGGTCATTGCAACCATTTGGGGAGTGAATTGGTGGGTGGAAGATCTCTCTCTGTCCCCCTCTCTGCCTCCCTCCCTCTCTAACTCTGCATTTGAAATAGATAAGTAAATCTTTTTAAAAAATTCAGATTAATTTAAAAATTTTAACTTTTTATTAGAAAATGCATTGGAGATGCAGAAAAGTGTGGAAAATAGTATCGATATTGGGACACCCACCAAACTCTTATCTATTTGAAAGGTAGAGACACAAGGAGAGACAGAGCTCTCCCATCCCTTTGTTCGCACCCCAGATGCCCACAGTAGCCAAGGTGGGGCCAGGCCAAAGCTTGGAGCTGGGAACTCAACCTGAGTCCCCCACACTGAGGACAGGGACCCAGTCACTCAAGCCATGGTCAAGAGGCCTCCTAGAGTGTGCACTGATTAGCAGCAAGCTGGAATCTGCATCAGAACGTGGACGGAAACCTAAGCACTCCCATGTGGAATGCAGACCCGGCCTGAGGATTCACTGCTATGACAAAAGCCCACCCCTATTTTTTAATTGATGTATAATTTATTTACAGAAAAATTCATTCCTTTTTGTGTAGACTTCTGTATTTTGAAAAATGCATAGCATCGTGTAATCACCCCCACAGTCAAAATGCAGAAGCATTTCCTCACTTCCCCATATTCCCATGAGGAAGCTCCTTTGTAGCTGTATCTTTCTCTACCTGTAATGCTTTATAAAGAAAAGATTGTTTTCTGCTATTAGTTTTTCCTTTTCTAGAATGTCACAGAAATGGGTGCCTGCAGAATCCCAGAGCAGTAGTGGCCTTTCACTGTGGCTTCTTCAAAGACGGCACATTGGATACTGCTTTGTGTTGCTGCATAGGGTCAGTGGCAGAGTAGTATTCCGTTGTGTGCACACACAGCAGTTTATACTCACAGGCCACTTGAGTTGTTTTAGTTTAGGGAGATGATGAACAACACTGCTATCATCTTTGCATACAGGTAGTTGTATGGACTCGAGTTCATTTCATTTGGGAGAATAACTAGGATGCAATTAGCAGAGAGCTGGATCCGAAGCTGTGCAGCCGGGACTCGAACCGGCTCTCCACTATGGGATGCCATCATTGCAAGTGGCTGCTTACCCT